ACCTGAGACACAATCCTGAGAAGTGAAACAAAGGAAGGGAACTAATTAACATAGATTATGCAGAGGGAGATAAACTCCGAATATATAAAAAGGAAAAAAGTCTAAAGCTGACATAAAAAAAATAAACCCAACTTACACTTATAAGAAACTAAACACAGTGAAATCAATTAATGGGAAATAATTCTAATGAAAAAAAAAAGTATGAACAGAAAATTGCAAATTTTAACCATATATACATTTATATATAATAGGTCACACTGCTACAAATATTGATCTACAATTACTCTATTTCCGAATAATAAAAACTTTATTGTAATCTAAAATAAAGCAAACAGATCTCATATTTTTGGGTTTATAATTCTTTCTTCCCTTTTTTGAAGATTCTCCCATCAGGCTGCTCCCTCCACTTCAGGGTAACTCCACTCACTCCGTTCTCCTGCAGTCTGTTCTGAAGCTTTAAGTAAAGTTAGAAGACCAAACACAGAAACTTTTTAATTTTGAGATCAGATTTACTTATTCATTTGGCATAAATATTACAGTCTTAATTTTAAACTTGCCTTTTTCAGGATGTTTTCTCTTAGAACAGGGTCATTTAGTTCCACAAAGTCCTCTGTGTGAAGTCTGAGCTTCACTATCTGTTTTGTAACTAATATGATAAAGGAGATATGTAGAAAGATTCAATTTAACATTGAAACAAATAAAAATGAAATACATTGAGAAGGATGTAAATTCTGAAATTGGTAATTGTGCTAAAATCCAGTCTGATATTAGCATTAGAAAAATCTCCAAACAGGATAGATATCTGTAAATTCTGACAACACTCCTGAACTCCTGAAACCTTTTGTTCTTTTGGATGAAGAGCTACTGTTTTCTTTTTGGACACAGCCAGCAAAACTGAAGATGTGTTACTTTCTTCATTGACTTTGTGTTTTTTTCCCCTCCTTTGTGACTTTAATTTCTTGAATACATTTATCTCCAATGAAGGTTACGTTTATAGGAATTACCCAAACTCCTGCCTTCAACTGCCATCCAGATTGAATGGCAGCTGATTTTGATGTAACCCCCTAGGTCATAAACCTCTTTCTCTTATACACTTCTACAGTGGAGGCTTTACACAATGACCTATTGACACCAGTGTTGCTGATACATAGATGTGTATTTAACAGAGTGTAATTGGAGTCTGGGCATTGTTCATAATGGAAAATTGAAGTGTTACATTGACATTTCTCTCTGCCGTGGTTGGCCAACATAGTGGGCATCTGCAGTTTTTTTGCGTTGAGCCCATCAACACAGTGATAGACCACCAGCTGTTATATTGAGAAAACATTACAACCTTAAACAAATTAATCTGTGTAGGAGATGTATATTGAATCTGATAAGGGAAAAAGTTGGAAACTTCCCTTTCTGTCAGTAGAAGTTGGAAGAAGAAGAAGAAAAAGACGTAGTGGAACACTTATGGTATGTCATGTTTTGCATCTTAAAAGATATAATTGGCCGTGCTTTGGTGGCACAGTGGTTAGCACACACAACCCATGTATGGAGGCCTTTAGGGCTGGTTATACTCTCTTAGCATTGTGTCGCAGTGAGCTTGTCGCAGGTATGATGGTGGTCTGCGCTACATTTATTCCACCCCACTACGCAAAAATGGGGTGGAATCACGAACTAGCTGTGGGTCTAGATACAGCCAAAGTGGGGACCAGTTTTTCCGTCAACTGAGGGACATGAGGGCAAAAGAGCGGGGATCCAGGTGGAAAAAGAGTCCCAGCGTTCTTGTGCACCTCGCTCTTTTAGCTGGTCCATCTTCAAGGGTCTTTTTCCGCAATCGTGGTCATACAAACAAAACATGCCGGTAAGGTACTAAAGAGGAGACGCATAGTGTAGAGCGAATGTAGATTTGACCAATCAGATTCCTCCTGTCTGTGGTCAGGGTTCCAATCCAGCCTGTAGTCCTGTCCTGCATGTCTTGCCCCCTCTCTCAAGCCCCCTTTCTTGTCAGCCTACTATACATAAAAAAAAAAAAAAAAAAAAAAACGAACCATTAGCACCGTTGAAAAAAATAAATAGAAAAGATATAATTGGGATTTTCTTAAACAAGTTTACAAAAGGTTTTAGACAGTAGGAAAGAAGGATATCTACACTATATTGCCAAAAGTATTTGCTCACCCATCCAAATTATTGGAATCAGGTGTTCCAATCACTTCCATGGCCACAGGTGTATAAATTCAAGCACCTAGGCATGCAGACTGTTTTTACAAACATTTGTGAAAGAATGGGTCGCTCTCAGGAGCTCAGTGAATTCCAGCGTGGAACTGTGATAGGATGCCACCTGTGCAACAAATCCAGTCGTGAAATTTCCTCGCTCCTAAATATTCCACAGTCAACTGTCAGCTGTATTATAAGAAAATGGAAGTGTTTGGGAACGACAGCAACTCAGCCACGAAGTGGTAGGCCACGTAAACTGACGGAGCGGGGTCAGCGGATGCTGACGCGCATAGTGCGAAGAGGTCGCCAACTTTCTGCAGAGTCAATCACTACAGACCTCCAAACTTCATGTGGCCTTCAGATTAGCTCAAGAACAGTGCGCAGAGAGCTTCATGGAATGGGTTTCCATGGTCGAGCAGCTGCATCCAAGCCATACATCACCAAGTGCAATGCAAAGCGTCGGATGCGGTGGTGTAAAGCACGCCGCCACTGGACTCTAGAGCAGTGGAGACGCGTTCTCTGGAGTGACGAATCGCGCTTCTCCATCTGGCAATCTGATGGACGGGTCTGGGTTTGGCGGTTGCCAGGAGAACGGTACTTGTCTGACTGCATTGTGCCAAGTGTAAAGTTTGGTGGAGGGGGGATTATGGTGTGAGGTTGTTTTTCAGGAGCTGGGCTTGGCCCCTTAGTTCCAGTGAAAGGAACTCTGAATGCTTCAGCATACCAAGACATTTTGGACAATTCCATGCTCCCAACTTTGTGGGAACAGTTTGGAGCTGGCCCCTTCCTCTTCCAACATGACTGTGCACCAGTGCACAAAGCAAGGTCCATAAAGACATGGATGACAGAGTCTGGTGTGGATGAACTTGACTGGCCTGCACAGAGTCCTGACCTCAACCCGATAGAACACCTTTGGGATGAATTAGAGCGGAGACTGAGAGCCAGGCCTTCTCGTCCAACATCAGTGTGCGACCTCACAAATGCGCTTCTGGAAGAATGGTCAAAAATTCCCATAAACACACTCCTAAACCTTGTGGACAGCCTTCCCAGAAGAGTTGAAGCTGTTCTAGCTGCAAAGGGTGGACCGACGTCATATTGAACCCTATGGATTAGGAACGGGATGTCACTTAAGCTCATATGTGAGTCAAGGCAGGTGAGCAAATACTTTTGGCAATATAGTGTATATCAAGTGCCAAATATCAGGACAAATTTTGAGCTCATATGATTGGTATGTAATGCAGCTTCTTTTTTTTCTCCTTTTGATTTTTAAACACTCACCAGGAGGACCATAACAGACAAATTGTAATCTTGTTTCACAGGGAAAAATTTTCCATCTTCCTGATATTCCAGTAGATGTAGCACCACATATGACTTTCCTGGAGCCAATCACAATACCAAAGGAATCCCAGCTAGAAAAGAGGACGCTGCTCCCATCAGACCAGTGAAGATTTGCATCTCTATATAGACCAATCCATGGATATTGGCCACTGGATATCAGGCTCTGGACTCGTTGGTTCTCTGTGTCATTTTTTATGGTGGCCAGATCAACAAAGTTATTTCTGCAGTATGACTGTGCATCGGACCAGGACATTGTAGTAGTCACATAAACAAATTCAGGATCCAAGTGTGAGCCTGTTGGTGATGACAATGTAGGATATTGTTAAGCAGAGATTCCAAGTTTTACAATAATGGTTTAAAGAATAGGGAGTCATCATTCATATTTTTACCTTTGTAACACAAAAACTGACGATTTCCTGTGCAGGTAGCATCAAACCATTCCCCATAGCTGTATGATCCTACACATAACTCATTAAGGTCATACCATGATGGTTGATTTATATGCCAGTCTCTGTAGTCAGCTCCACTCCCAGTGTAACCATCAGACCATTTCCAGTGGATTTCACTGAACAGACCAATCCAGACGTCAGAGCTGTGTCCAGCAGATGTAAGAGTGTCGATAAGTTGGTTCTGTTGCTCAGAGTTTAGGATGGTGGCCAGGTCTGTGTGCTTCTGTCTGCAGTAGGTCTGAGCTTCAGTCCAAGTCAAAGATTGACTAATAAAATGGTACCGATGATGGAGGCAGGTGGTGAGGACCACCCAGTCTGAAGGTTGTATTTAAAAATATTACTTTTTAATATTTAGGGATGCTTTTCTACAAAGGTACAAACAGATAAACATGAAGTCACTCACCTAAAAGAAACAAAAGTCCCAACAAGATCTTCTCCATCATGATGCTGCTCAGAGGACTGCAGTAGAAAGTGCTGATGCTCTAACCAGTCTCTGAAAGGCTTTCTGTTTGAGACAGGGGTAATAGTCTATTCTCCTGAACATGCAAAGGTGGTTGCTATGACAGCCTGTAGGAAAATGAGGTTTATAAAACGTAAAAAGGATTTACAAAGTCTGTAGGCTACACAAACAATTATTTCTCCTTATTGACAACTATTACCAAGAATGACATGTCTAGCTGCTAATGTTACACTAAACCCTTCCTTTCCCAAGTTAGTTCTTAGATACATCTAGCTATAAATTGGACCCTCTCTTGTTTTGATTTTGGTAATTGAATATTGTCAGATATTTATTTTAATAAATAAAAGTTGTCTTTCTATCTCTTGTTCCATAAGTTAACAATATGTTTAGTCTTAATGTATTTCTTTTTACTAGTTTGCTCTAGTAAAAATTAAAAAAGAAATTAAAAAAAAAATTCTAAAAATAGAATGGGAGGCAGATCTTTTAGTTATCAGGCTCCTCTCCTGTGGAACCAACTACCAGTTTTAGTCCGTGAGGCAGACACCCTGTCTACTTTTAAGGCTAGGCTTAAAACTTTCCTTTTTGATAAAGCTTATAATTAGGGTGGCTCAGGTTATCCTGAGCTATCTCTATAGTTATGCTGCTATAGGCTTAGACTTCTGGAGGACATAGGGACCCCCATTTCATCATTCTGCTTCATTCTCTCTCTATCTCCTATTCTGCAGAATCTGTTAGTTCAATCTGTAACGTTCTGCTCTCTCTGCTTTTCCTCAGAGTAGCTTCATCTGGTCTGTTCCTGTTTGGCTTGACGGCATCCTGGAAAGAAACATCAGCTGTGCTGCTTCCATCAACACCCTTGTTTATAGATGCTGGAGATCGGCCTGTTTTCCATTGTGGTCCTGTTTCTCTGACCGTGACTGAGTGGATGTGCTCTCTTTGTCCTCTGGCATGGGAGCTGGCTCGGAGCTTGTCTGCCTGGCTGTGTGTCTCCTGGATGGGGCCGCCTTTTACAGCTGCTTTTTGTGTCTCTGCTTCTGTTTCCTTGAACCCCAGTCGGCCTCGGCAGATGGCCGCTCACACTGAGCCTGGTTCTGCTGGAGGTTTCTTCCTGTTAAAAGGGAGTTTTTCCTCTCCACTGTCGCTACAAGCATGCTTAGTGTGAGGGATTGTATTTGAGTCAATGAGTCAATGCAATCAACTGGTTTCCTTAGATAGAAAACTTTGTATCAATTTGACTGGATGATTCTCTCCAGCATGTTGGTTTAAAAAACTTTGACCTTTTACATTGTTTTGAAGAAGAAGTGAACTCGCTGTTGGACAACACTCTGATCCAGGGAACCATAGATAAATATGTCAAGTGATTTTCTGAATGCGGCGCAGCAGATCCGCAACACCAAACAGACGTAGGCTAGCTTTAATTTTCTGTAGCCTATGCAGTTACCTTCTATGTTGTTGTTCTATGAAACCGTTTGTTTCAAACTTTTTTCTCAGACTTGTTAAAAATTGTAATTAAACTTGCATGGTACTGTAATAAAATTCAGTAAATGCGGAAGCTATACAATTTATTTCATTTTTCTCATTGAAAAACCTCACAAATGGCCTTGAGATTATATTCTGCATAGAAAATAAGTGAAATAACGGTAAATTCAGTTTTAGTAATCAACTGCTTATAGTGTTCAAATTGGCTCTCGACCAACATGATCACTAGTCATTCAATAAGTTAATCAAACTACGGCAAGCCATATTGAATAAGTGTTGGATGAGGAAATATGTATGAGAAATGTCTTGTGTGGCATGGTGCGTAAAAATTAGTCAAATTGCATGACTGTTACATGCGTGACCCTTGGAAGCCCTATATTTAATATTTTTTTCTTTAGCCCTCTCTTTACAATGGAAAGACAATACACCAATCAGTCAACAAATTGAGCTGTACCAGGGAATGTATATGAAGCACGGTGTGTTTTGTGCAAGAAGTCATTCAAGCTCGGTACGATGGGAATCAAGGCAGTGGAGTCAGGCGTGTAAAGCTGAAACACAAAGCGTCAAACTCCAGTTACCAAGAAGCAGGATGCATTTCTCTGTACTGTTCCACCCTTGTCTCTGCAAGGCCTCCACAGGCATTTACGACAACAGCGCCAGTAGCACCAAATCTCCAGATATTGTTTGGTGGTACAATGAAAGCAGAGGTATTGTGGACTTTGAAACAAAGTTTGTGGATTCAGTATAGTTGATAAAAATATATCTGTTATTTGTGTGTTTTAAGCTTTCTTTTTTAGAATTTGAAACTTTTATACTGGCCCAGAAAGTAACAGATAATGTTAAAATAAACATAAATATGTCACTACCCAGTTTTTCTTTTGTTCGTTGTAAAGTTCATCTCAACTTTTTATTTCAAGTGACATTAGAAAATCTTAAAAGAATTTGAATTTAACTTGCCTTATGGTGTAGGAACCATGTACTCTTGGGACATGACAATGGCCAAACTGTAAGAATTTTGTCCTTTAACGTGAGCTGCTGTTGGAAGCCCTGCTTTGTCTTTGTTGTTGGGTCCTTGGGTCGACAGATCACCCACTTTGCTGGCTGTTTGTGGGCAGAAGCCCTAGTGTTGCCTGTGTATGGCAGCCTGGGGTCTTTCACTCTGCTTGAGGGTTGCTGTAACTAAGTTTAGCATGCCATCATCCGTGTGCGAATGACAGTTAAGAGCTTTAGGTTCTATGGACTTGAAAAGGCCATTTAGTCAAAGATATATCAAGTTTCCTTATTTATCAGATCAGTGTAACTTTGGAATGACATCAGGTCTGTCTGTTCTAGATCAAGTATTCAAGGCTTTCAGTGTTTTGGATCTAGACTAGATCTAATCACGGAGTTGAAGGTTTAGAAAAAAATAATTACACAAACATTTACTTTAAAATACTTCGGTTTTGTGAATTCCACATTGATGTAATTAAATAGTTTTGTCCATATTCTTATGTTGTTTTAGTCTGTTTGTTTTTTTTTTTCTTACTTGGTATGACAGAAATGAAAGCTTAAACATTTTAACCTGATTAAGGAATCAGAAGAATAATTAGATGAGATGATGGAAAAAACAAAGAGTTTTCTATAAAAGGTCTGTAATGATATTCTTGACAGAAGAAACTAAAGATTTTTTATTTAATTATAAAGGTTTCTATTATCCATTGAGAGATGGCAAGTAAGGTGAGGTTATTTAAAAAAGGCATTTGCCTTGCAAACATTGAAGGGCTGAGAATAGGCACACCTTTGTTATAACATTTGCCTGTTCTCAGTCATTGCGTCACACATTTTGCATCAGAAGCCTTAAACCTTTGTACGAATTAATAGCCTATTCATACTCTATTTATACTATACTCTTAAACAGGGGGTCCGTGACCACTAGGGGGTCATGGAGGTACTGCATGGGGATCACGAAAGTTTATGTTGATTAGACTTTTTTTTTATATTCCCCCCTGTAATTTTTTCCACTAAATGAAATGTCTTTAAAACCACATCAACATTAATTCAACACTTTGTAGTAAACAGATAAATGGAGGCAGAAGATGTCTTTCAGTCATTGCACATATTCAACAACACACGGGAGCTCTTTCAAGGTGGGCACAGTTTCATTCACAGCACCTATCCATCAATGAGGAATCAGAATCAGAAATGCTTAAATAATCCCAGGGAGAAATTACTTTTGTCACTTTACTCCATATGTAATAGTGACAATAGGACCAGTTTTATAGAACACAATGTTATACAACATATATAATAAGGGGGGTCCCCACTCCATCTCGGGTCCTTGGCCTGGAAAACGAGGAAGACCCCTGGCCTATTTGGTAATCCCATGTTCTGTCTTCATCATGGTAGATATTTCCTTTGCTTGTCTGCAAGGGAGAATCATAATAGAATAAATCTTTAGGGTGATTTTTGCTTCTCCCAAGTCAGTTTTATTTTTTTGTTTTAATGGCAAGGGTGAATTGTAAAATTTGAAGAATAAAACTATTAAAAGAAGAAACTATTTACAAAGCACCCCTCACAGATATAACCCTCCCGCTGTTGCAGCATACCACAACCTGGCAACAGCGCAGACACCGGGGTACAAGGTCCAGGGAGTAGTCACGAACCCACCAGGGCTTAAATGCAGAGACGGAGAGACAACGATGGAGAGTGTACAAAGGTCTGATGGACATCGCCACCACTGCCTTGCTTGTTGCGGTTTCTAGCTCTCTGCATACTCCCTTAGATAATGTAACATCTATGAAAAAGAAAAACTTTGAAAATAGAAAGCTGGCTCCCTGGTTTAATGCAGAGCAGCACACTCTGAAGAAAAATGCTATAAAAGTGGAGAGCAACTGTTGCCCCAGATGCCTACAGGAATCCTAGCTAGTCTGGAAAACAGTTTATTGCAGTTAGAGCAGCATATTTCAACTATCACAACTATCAGGTTATACAGTAATTTTTAAAAGTCAGAGATTATAGCTTTAACAAACAGCGCAGGTGAAACAATAAACTGGTCGAGCCTGCTTTTGTTCTGTTAGGCAGCCAAAGGGTATCTAGGAATAATAGTCACACCCAAAACTGGTCAACTGTAAGTGGAAAATATCAACCCTTAAATTTGTCAGATAAAAGGTAAATTAACAAGCTGGAAAAATCTTCGCTTGTCAATGCAACGAACTGAGGCAAATGGCCCGTCCAGTCTTCTTCCTGGAACTTAAGAGGAAGCAGACTGCCAGCATCTTGTTGCTTGAGTGTTTGCAAGTTACGGTACTCTGAGCCCCCATAGAGATACCGTTTGTGTTGTTTTCCTGTAGACAAACATTTCTTAATTGATTCTCGTTGTCTGCCTTCCATCAGGGGTTTCCTCGTGACGCTGTGGATCCTTGTGAGGACCTTGCTGTAAATAAAGGGCAGTGAAACCAGTAGAGGCACAGCCCGTTATGGTGTCATACCTTAAAATTGCATACAGATTTAACACTAAGATTTCAATAAGATGTTCTCCTCAAATTTTTTACAGGATGAGAAGCCCAATTGTTTGAAGTCAGTGATATGTCTGGATAGGGACTTTGCTGACCAAATGAGTTTCCATAGAAACGTTGAAATAATTGCCTTCCAAAAAAAAATAAAAAATAAAATAAAAATGTCATCCTTGACAATTGACATTTTGTTTTTCCTGCATTTATACATTTCTTTTCACACAATCCGCAGGACACATTAGGAGAAAAACAAAAATACAGTCTGCAAATCAAAATTAGGCAAAAATATTGTGGAACTGTTTCAAATTAGCTGTCAGTGCTGTCTGTGCTCTAAAAAGGGTGAGATAATACAGGTGCTGGTCATAAAATTAGAATATCATGAAAAAGTAGATTGATTTCAGTAATTCCATTTAAAAAGTGAAACTTGTATATTATATTCATACATTACATACAAACTCATATATTTCAGATGTTTATTTTGTTTAATTTTGATGATTACAAATGACAACAAATGAAAATCTCAAATTCATCATATCAGAAAATTAGAATATTACTGAAGACCAATAAAAACAAAGGATTTATAGAAATGTTGGCCAACTGAAAAGTATGAACATGAAAAGTATGAGCATGTACAGCACTCAGTATTTAGTTGGGCCTCCTTTGGCCTGTATTACTGCAGCAATGCGGCGTGGCATGGAGTCGATCAGTCTGTGGCACTGCTCAGGTGTTATGATAGCCCAGGTTGCTCTAATAGTGGCTTTTAGCTCTTCTGAATTGTTGGGTCTGGTGTATTGCATCTTCTTCTTCACAATACCCCATAGATTTTCTATGGGGTTAAGGTCAGGAGAGTTTGCTGGCCAATTAAGAACAGGGATACCATGGTCCTTCAACCAGGTACTGGTAGCTTTGGCACTGTGTGCAGGTGCCAAGTCCTGTTGGAAAATGAAATCTGCATCTCCAAAAAGTTGGTCAGCTGCAGGAAGCATGAAGTGCTCTAAAACTTCCTGGTATGTGGCTGCGTTGACCCTGGACCTCAGAAAACACAATGGACCAACACCAGCAGATGACATGGCACCCCAAACCATCACTGACTGTGGAAACTTTACACTGGACTTCAAGCAACGTGGATGAAGTGCCTCTCTTCTTTTCCTCCAGACTCTGGGACCTTGATTTCCAAAGGAAATGCAAAATTTACTTTCATCAGAGAACATGACTTTGGACCACTCACCAGCAGTCCAGTCCTGTTTCTCTTTAGCCCAGGCAAGACGCTTCTGACGCTGTCTGTGGTTCAAGAGTGGCTTGACACAAGGAATGCGACAGCAGAAACCCATGTCTTTCATACGTCTGTGTGTGGTGGTTCTTGAAGCACTCACTCCAGCTGCAGTCCACTCTTTGTGAATCTCCCCCACATTTTTGAATGGGTTTTGTTTCACAATCCTCTCCAGGGTGCGGTTATCTCTCTTGCTTGTACACTTTTTTCGACCACATCTTTTCCTTCCCTTCGCCTCTCTATTAATGTGCTTGGACACTGAGCTCTGTGAACAGCCAGCCTCTTTAGCGATGACCTTTTGTGTCTTGCCCTCCTTGTGCAAGGTGTCGATGGTCGTCTTTTGGACAACTGTCAAGTCAGCAGTCTTCCCCATGATTGTGTAGCCTATAGAACTAGACTGAAAGACCATTTAAAGGCTTTTGCAGGTGGTTTGAGTTAATTAGCTGATTAGAGTGTGGCACCAGGGGCCATCAATTTTGAACCTTTTCACAATATTCTAATTTTCTGATATGATGAATTTGAGATTTTCATTTGTTGTCATTTGTAATCATCAAAATTAAACAAAATAAACATCTGAAATATATGAGTTTGTATGTAATGTATGAATATAATATACAAGTTTCACTTTTTAAATGGAATTACTGAAATCAATCTACTTTTTCATGATATTCTAATTTTATGACCAGCACCTGTATAGAGGTGAATCATGGGTAGTCAAAAGGTTAAGGTACTGTCCAGAATGCTTTGAACTCTAGCTGGACAGGGTTTGAATCAGGCCCATTTAATTCATTTGAGAGGACACAGACAACTGAAATTCACTCAGTTTCATTTAGACAAACTTTTTTGTCAAAACAAATCTGGATGCATACAGCATTAACTGTGAAAGAGCTACTTACAGTGAAATGAACATCAACATTTCTAAAGTGCAGCAGTGATCACAATTTTAACAGTTTAACTTTATGGTTCAGAGGGCATATATGGAACGATTCAGTGCAGTGCAAAAAAAGAAAAGGTGCAAGCTTCACCATGTGATTGGTGGTGAACCTGGGGACGCAGTCGTGTATCAGAGTGAACAGCAGGGGGCTCAGGACGCAGCCCTGAGGACAGCCTGTGCTTAGACTGATAACAGAGGTGTTCTGTCCGACCCAGACTGACTGAGGGCAGTCTGTGAGGAAGTCTAGCAGCCAGTTGCAGAGGGTTGTAGTGAAGCCCAGCTGTTCCAGTTATCCCATAAGATGCTGTGGAATGATGGTTAGAAAAGCTGAGCTGAAATCCAGAATCAGCATCAAAACGTGGGCGTTCTCCAGGTGTGCCAGGCTAAGGTGAAGACCAGAGGAGATGGAGTCCTCAGTGGAGCAGTTCCGTCGGTAAGATAACTAAAGGGAAATTCAAAATTTGGATAAAGTCGTCATCTGGAGGTGGCTGTCAAGCCCTCCACCCCAAAAACTAAAAGACAAAACAGACCTTTGCAAATTTGCTGATGGATTATTCCTCACAGGCCTTGCATTGATAGTCTCCCACTGTGGAAGGATATCCTACACAGGTGCAGCGATACCATCCAGAACAGCTATTGCATTCAATCTGAAGACAGAATACAGATAATTTGACTGCGGTTAGGAAACAAATTATGGGTTTAGGTGAAGCATTACATTAGCAAAAAGGTGTACCTGAGGCATTTAAAATAAGCAGTCGTGTTCAACACACTGACTTACCCAGTCATCTGTGGCAGCTCCAGAGCTGAACTCCCCACATGCCCGGCACAATTCCCAAAGGTCATCTGCAGACATAAGTATTAGGGCAAGGATTATATGGATTCATTATAAGTACACAGTGACTGCAGTAGTTCACCCGTCTTTGTCAGCAGAGCCGTTGCCATGTCCAACCTCAGTTTTGACACACCCTCAGCATGGACAGGGAAAGCAGCTTCTCGACCCCTTAATATACATTGTACAATGTCTGCTTACCGCGCACATGAGAACCCCACATGATGTACCATCCTGCTGCCTTGGGGGAGGCAATGTGGAGCATTCCCACCTCCCTATGGCCAGGAATTGTTTGTGTACAAAAGCTCTGCATTATGACATTCAAACAGTCAGATAAGCATGTATTGTGATAGTACATTTGTCACCTCTCTCAATGACATACCTGGTCATCTCCTGGCACCTTTTGGTTTGAGCTTCAGTTGCCCCAAAGGGGTCAACAAAAACGACCCTCTTTTCCGTTGTGTAAATAACCTGTCCAGTATAAAGTGGGCCAGATCTGGTACAACATTTGATAATAACCCATTTGCTACTCACAATAAGCGTCCAGTGGTGGTTGTGACAAACAGCCCCTGCCACTACATTGTAGGGCATCAAAGGCACCTGGGAAAGACATACTAACAAACTCTGTATCCACCATGCCTACCCAGTAACGACAGGTATGCATTGATCACCTGCAAAGATACAAATATTTAAAAATTACAACCTCATAACAGGTGTACAAACTACATTAACAGCCATTTAAAAAAAATAACTACCTCACTCTCCAACTCCTTCCCAGGTCTATGATGTTGTCAGAAAATAGTTTATATGGACCAATCCGACTCCAGATTTTCCTGGGATGATGACCTGCCTAAATACCTTTAATCACTGCACCCCCCAAAAAACTTTGGATTGGAATACATTACAATACGCACCAGCTGCAGGAGGCTGAAGCACAGGGGAAGCCAGGGCAGGAGGCTGAAGCTGAGGGAAAGCAAGGGCGGGAGGCTGAAGCACAGGGGAAGCCAGGGCGGGAGGCTGAAGCACAGGGGAAGCCAGGGCGGGAGGCTGATGCCCTTTCATCTTTGAGGGTATCCTTTGCTTCAGAAGTATATATGGTTTTAAGTGATCTACATTAATTTTGATCTTTGCTTTTCCCTTTTCCGATACAAGGTCTGCACTCTTGCCCTCAATTTTTGTGATCATGAGGGGACCCAACATGTCTGCCTCCATTTTTCCACCCTTCCTTTGCTCCTGCCTGATGTTCTTTAGAAGAACTTGGTCACCCACCTTAAAGTCCTCCTTACCTCGTTGCCTTTTCCTCTGCCTAACCTTTTCATGACTCTTTTGAATATTTGAGGACACTTCCCGGTAGGTTTTTTTCTGCTCAGAAATGCCTCGGCTCACAACCTCCTGTGAAATTAGCCTCTCCTCCTTTTGATAAGTGATCTGTAAGCAAGTATAGAAAATGTGTTGTGACATAGTATTGGCCCCAACAGGGAAGATGTGTGCACACCTTACCTCATATTGTGTTGGTATCTGCGACGGATACCTGGCCTCCCTGTCAAACATCAAACAAAATATGGGGAATGTTTTGTGGTGAAATGTCATTTGGTCCGCAGGGCAAACATTGTTGGTTGCAGCACCTCGTCCCATCTATGTGGATGGTCTGCCACTAATTTGTTCAAGGACCTGGAGGGTTAGAATTCCATTAGTCACACTTTTGGTAAGGCTCCACATTAACAAGATGTTTGTTGATAGGTTTGAACAACAACCTTTGAATCGTCCCATTCAGGTTCTCCACCAGACCATTGGTTTGTGGGTGGTATGGCGAGCACAAACTTCTTTTGATATTTAATTTCTCACACAAACCATAGCTAACCTAAGAGAATGAGAAGTCAGCACTACTGTGTCCACTTATTGTGAAATTATTTCTCAGTACTTACCTTGTTGAGAAATTCTGTACACTGGTCCTTAAGCAGCCTTTGAGGTGCACCAAATTTGTAAAAAAAAATCAAGTATACAACTGGTGACCTCAGCTGCTGATTTTGTTTTTTGTGGGTAGGCCTCTGCCCATTTCGTGAAATAATCAATGATTACACAAATGTACTGATTACCACCATTTGTTACTGTGAGTTTACCCACTAGATCCATATGCACCAGTTCCAGTGGCTCGTCACCTGTTTAGGAGATAAATTGTAAATTCTTCACTTCAAGTGCATACACATTTCACATCTGCTTCACTTCTAATTCTTCTTACCTCTATGGGGCTGTATTCAGACTTTTCCTTAATCATTGCCCTTTTCTTTTGGCACTGAGGACACTGAGCAACCTGAATAAAATTGAGAAAGTCCACACAGAACTAAAAAAAGACCTTAATGAATAGAATGAAACACATAGCCAAATACTCACCCATTGTTGGATGTCCCTTTCCATACCCGGCCAGTAAGAGCGGCTGGCAATGGCACAATGGGTTCTTTCCCACCTGCAGTGTCCACCTAATTCGCTGGCATGAAATTCAATAAAGATGTTGTTTGCCCCCTCGGCTGTTGTAACAAGCTTCGCCAGATGTTCCTCTTTATTGGATTTCCGCCTGCATATATAATGCAGTTCCCCATCAAAGATGTTCATACATACAGGTGCTGGTCATAAAATTAGAATATCATGAAAAAGTAGATTGATTTCAGTAATTCCATTTAAAAAGTGAAACTTGTATATTATATTCATACATTACATACAGACTCATATATTTCAGATGTTTATTTTGTTTAATTTTGATGATTACAAATGACAACAAATGAAAATCTCAAATTCATCATATCAGAAAATTAGAATATTACTGAAGACCAATAAAAACAAAGGATTTATAGAAATGTTGGCCAACTGAAAAGTATGAACATGAAAAGTATGAGCATGTACAGCACTCAGTATTTAGTTGGGCCTCCTTTGGCCTGTATTACTGCAGCAATGCGGCGTGGCATGGAGTCGATCAGTCTGTGGCACTGCTCAGGTGTTATGATAGCCCAGGTTGCTCTAATAGTGAATTTTAGCTCTTCTGAATTGTTGGGTCTGGTGTATTGCATCTTCTTCTTCACAATACCCCATAGATTTTCTATGGGGTTAAGGTCAGGAGAGTTTGCTGGCCAATTAAGAACAGGGATACCATGGTCCTTCAACCAGGTACTGGTAGCTTTGGCACTGTGTGCAGGTGCCAAGTCCTGTTGGAAAATGAAATCTGCATCTCCAAAAAGTTGGTCAGCTGCAGGAAGCATGAAGTGCTCTAAAACTTCCTGGTATGTGGCTGCGTTGACCCTGGACCTCAGAAAACACAATGGACCAACACCAGCAGATGACATGGCACCCCAAACCATCACTGACTGTGGAAACTTTACACTGGACTTCAAGCAACGTGGATGAAGTGCCTCTCTTCTTTTCCTCCAGACTCTGGGACCTTGATTTCCAAAGGAAATGCAAAATTTACTTTCATCAGAGAACATGACTTTGGACCACTCACCAGCAGTCCAGTCCTGTTTCTCTTTAGCCCAGGCAAGACGCTTCTGACGCTGTCTGTGGTTCAAGAGTGGCTTGACACAAGGAATGCGACAGCAGAAACCCATGTCTTTCATACGTCTGTGTGTGGTGGTTCTTGAAGCACTCACTCCAGCTGCAGTCCACTCTTTGTGAATCTCCCCCACATTTTTGAATGGGTTTTGTTTCACAATCCTCTCCAGGGTGCGGTTATCTCTCTTGCTTGTACACTTTTTTCGACCACATCTTTTCCTTCCCTTCGCCTCTCTATTAATGTGCTTGGACACTGAGCTCTGTGAACAGCCAGCCTCTTTAGCGATGACCTTTTGTGTCTTGCCCTCCTTGTGCAAGGTGTCGATGGTCGTCTTTTGGACAACTGTCAAGTCAGCAGTCTTCCCCATGATTGTGTAGCCTATAGAACTAGACTGAAAGACCATTTAAAGGCTTTTGCAGGTGGTTTGAGTTAATTAGCTGATTAGAGTGTGGCACCAGGGGCCATCAATTTTGAACCTTTTCACAATATTCTAATTTTCTGATATGATGAATTTGAGATTTTCATTTGTTGTCATTTGTAATCATCAAAATTAAACAAAATAAACATCTGAAATATATGAGTTTGTATGTAATGTATGAATATAATATACAAGTTTCACTTTTTAAATGGAATTACTGAAATCAATCTACTTTTTCATGATATTCTAATTTTATGACCAGCACCTGTATGTTTAACTAGATAGTCATCTGCATGCAAGCAGATTAAGCGTCATGACATTAGGACAGTGGTGTAAAACTGGTTCCAGAAAGGGCTGTGTGGCTGCCGGTTCCCTTTCCAACCAATCAGTTGCACAACAGACTCCAGTCATTATGGTCAAATTGGACTCGCTTGATATGGATGGAGTCTGGAGTGCTTTTGGATGGTTTGGAAAGAACCTGCAGTCCTTTCTGGAACCACACAGCAAATTTAAAGGTGTTAAATTTGGTGTTAGTAGAGGTTGTTCAAAGACAGTGTAGTAAAAAAAAAAAAGGGCAACATAATAAGTTGTTAAAATGGAAAAAAAAAAAAAAACTCTGAACTCAACTCTGAACTCCTGGAGTTGATTTGACACCCAAAGAGTTAATATTCCAATTCTAACACGTAGTTGGTCTAAGTCTTGAAAAATTTATTATTTAAAGCTAAATAAGAGTTACATTGCGAACTTTCCAAAAAGAGTCAAATTAACACTCGCTGGTGTGGACCCATATAGAAACTTCAAGGGTCTGAGACTGTTGATTTGAGCATGTTGGATTTGCTCTGCAGTTTAACACCACTGCATTAGGACAATATATCCATCATGTTTAGATGATGGAATTATACCTACTGGCTTCTAATAAAGCACTAACCTTGCAAAACAAAGGTAGATGCTCATCGTTTGATGACATACTGCTGTTTGCTGTTTGCACCTTCTGAATACCTGTTGTTAATTTCAAGGCCCAAGATTTCCTGGACTTTCCTGGGATCCATTGTAAATTCAAGAACTGGTCCAGACAATTGCTCCTACTACCGCTACGTTCAAATTGTGTGGGGTTTTTTCTCTCTCTTAAGACTACATCTGTCTTCCAAGCCCAACAAGGATTATTTCTTTTTTCAATGGCTTTGTAAAGGTCCTAGCCTGATGTAATACATTTGTGGATAGGCTTTAAAGTAATGGTCACAGCTGTTTGGAATTTTGACTGATAAATACCCTAAGCTGTTTCAGACCCTTGTTAATTCCAATTGGCATGGCTCTTTTCCTTTTAATGATGTAATGACATGTTCAGACTAATGTCATGTACTTTAATTTAAATAGCCCAGTTCATTTAGGTGTTATAACTGTGTTTATTCATAATGAGATACTTGCATTGGACATAGTATGTGCTCTAACGTTTTTATATTTCTCATTTTAATTACTTACCCTCTGCTTTACTGACTTACTGATACAGTATGTTTATCATCAGATTGATTATCTGAATATTATATTTAGTTCTTGCAGTCACATTCAATAAAATGCACATATATTTTCAATACGATAAAGAAGAATGAAAGACAATTTGAATTAAAGACACATTTTATTAAATTAATATATCAATACATTATTCAGAACATCACATTAAGAAACTATGTAAAGATATTGTCAATGGGAGAATAAAAGCAATAACAGGCATTTATTTGACACCATTAACTCAATGAAATCAGTGATCCAGTCTTTTCTGGAAATGGTGCTTACACATGCGTTACTTTTTTAATTACAAGCCTACTTGGATTTATATTTAGCTTCAGGAATTTACATAGTGGGCGGGCTTTCTCCTCCAAGCTGTAGGTGTTGATTTCTAGCAGATGGTGAGCAGTCGAAATTGCACACTATTATGAGAAAGACTTTTGTCTATATATACTTTTTCTGTACATTTGTCACTAAACGAAGGGACAGTCCAATTTCACGTAGCATTACTGCCATAGCCGTATGCCAGCATTTAGATTTATGTATGCATAAATGCGAGTGATTTGTTTCACAACTTAATCTGGTCTTGTGAAAGATGCTGTTCTTCGTGTGGGATTTTTTGCTCTACACACTTTTCTGTGGATATACGTTATTTGCCACATTGTTCAAATCTGAAAGAAGCAGGAATTAATTCGTTAGATATATCTGGTTGAGTTTGGCGAGCAGATTTGTTCCGTTTGGAATCTTTTCCATCAGGCATTTACACGGCCACCTAAGCTGCATTAACATCTGCAGTACGCATAGATTCTAACCAGTTGATCTCGTCACCAATTGATCTGTCACACCGGCAACAGGAAGTTGTCCATTTTAAAAGCTCCTTGAGAGGGGTTTGCCTTTAGAGGTGAGTAATTCTGGTTAGATTAACAACATTTGATCCCAACAAAACCTCTTCTGCAGCTTCTCTACAGTTCTAGTATACATCCAGACACTGTCTTGCCCTTGACCAAAATCAAATAAATTTGAAAAGAATCCCAAAGGACTAAATCATGATAATCTAATTAAAATAACACAAATTGGAGAAAAAGTTAAAACTTTTAAATTTAATTTAAAACACACTGTTATATGTATAGTCCAAGCCAGTTGCAATCCCCAAGCACCTGAGTGTGGCGTCTGCTTCCCGCACCTCAGACTGACAAGTTTGTGGCTGTCTTCAATGTTTCTTCTAAGCTGAATCATGCTACAAGTCAGCTGCGTTCGCACTGAGGTAAGCTCACATTCCTGCCAGGAGAGAGATAGCGCTCAGAGTAACAACATATAGGGAGTGTTGGTCTAGTTGTTAGAGCAGTGCGCTTGTGCTCTGAGAAGGTTGCAAGTACCCTGTTTGACCCCTACATCCTCCACTCTGGGTCCATGAGCATGACCCTTAACCCCGATTGCTGCAAGGAACTGCACAGTGACAGCAACTACTCCCCAAGGGGATGGGTTAAGAAGCAGAAGTAAATTTCTCCATTGTGAATAAGGTTCAATTATTATTTTAGTAGAGGGAGGTAACTTTTTATTGTGTAACACTTTGCTGTATACTTAATTGCTGAGTGGGCAGCTGTATAGGTATTGAGAAATAGTTACAGTGTAGTTTTGCATTTTCCAGAGTAAGGAATCAGAGGAGCCGGACATTGGGGACACACCCATTGGTATTGTCACAGAGATGAGAGGAAGAATTGCATATCTACTTCAGTTCAGTCCTGTATTTACAGCCATTGTGGTTGAAGATGAATTTGTCTTGACTGACATTACAACATATGCTGATGCATGTGTGTTACTGTTTGGGGTGGAATCTTTTTGGCACTTTCATTCAGAAGGTTCTCATGGGGTTAGATGGTGGTTCACCCTGAAACATCTGCTTTCTTTTAAAATATTTTTTTTTTTGTCATAGCCATAAATGGATCTACATTTTAAAACTTCTCGCGATCGACTGAAACTCCGCCCACGATCGACTGGTTGGGCACTCCTGGTCTACAGGCATGTCTAAAACATATAAACCCTGGATGATGCTTAACTTTCTGATTCTAAATGCAGGTAAAACAGA